CCCTCCCGGCCTCCAGCCCTGCCAGCTCGGCCTCGAGGCGGGCGCCGGCGTGGCTCAGGAACTCCTCGCACAGCTCCTCAGGTGGCTCTTCCAGCTGCAACAGCATCTCCACGCACTCGGTGAGCTCCTTGGGGTCCAAGGTGTCATCCCTGGCGGGGCGGGAAGCGATGGGGTTACTTGGGGACAGTGGCAGGTTCCGGGGTTAACAGTGGCACAGCAAGAAAGCAGGGAATAAGCAATAAAAGTCATCAGCAGGCTTCAGAGTAAACAGTAATTGTTCAAAAAAACAAAGGGGAAAAAAATACTTAATAGCATCAGCATGTTCTGAAGTTAACAGTGGTTATCGCAATAAAAAACTCACGGAAGATCATCAGTGGGTTCCAGAGTTCACAATAATAATGAAAAATCACCGAGACCCCTCAGTAGGCTCCCGAATTATCCCCTTACCATAGACAGGTGAGAAAACCCCACGTCACGCTGCCTTTTAAAAGCTGTCGGCAGTGGTCACAATCCTCCCCCTTACCCTGTGAACGTTCTGCGCCAGGGATGGCTCCTGGGGCTGCTATTAATATGCTCCAGGGTAAATGCCCCCCTCCCTAGGATGTTTCTTGGGGGCTGTTATCATTAGGCTCCAGATTTAACACGCCTGACCCCTTAAAAAACTGTCTCCTGTAGCTCTGTAGGTTTCAGAGTTAACATACCACAACCACCACCACCCCTCCAAGAAGGCTGTTTACTGGAATGGCTATCATTAGGCTCCAGAATGAACACCTCCCTCCCCCCCCGGCTCTTTCCCAGAGCTGTCATCAGTAGGCTCCAGGGTGAACATCCCCCCAAACCCCATTTCCCAGCGCTGCTGTCAGTAGGCTCCGGCGTGAACGCACCGGAGGCGTGCACGGAGGCGCTGGGCCAGGTCGGCCATGATGGCATGGCTCTCGTCCTCGATGGCGCGGAAGGAGGGCAGATGGCGGTAGTGGCGGAGCACGGCACGGGCGCGGGCGTGGCAGCGCAGGGCCCGCGCAGGCTCCGCCCCCGGTGCT